AAAGAAAGAAAGAAAGAAAGAAAGAAAGAAAGAAAGAAAGAAAGAAAGAAAGAGGAGAGAGAGGGAGGAGAGGGAGGGAAGGAGGGAGGGAAGGAAGGAAGGAATGAAGGAAAGAAGGAAGGAAGGAAAGAAAGAAAGAGAGAAAGAAAGAGAGAGAGAGAAAGAAAGAAAGAAAGAAAGAAAGAAAGAAAGAAAGAAAGAAAGAGGAGAGAGAAGGAAAGAGAGAGAGAGAGAAAGGGAGGGAAGAAACAAATTAGCAATGGAAGAAAATCACCAGTGGTTCTTTTGCTCCTCAACTGTCACCCTCCATCTACTCATGTCTAAGGATTTCTAGCTTCTTTATTTTGCTTTACCAAGAGCCAACCAAAATTTTTAAAAGTTCTGAGATCAAGATTCTATGCAAAAGCCAATTTCACATATGTAACATATGTATGAAGCAAACATATGTTAGCAAAGTACAGTGAGACTCTAGAAAAAACACATACTCTAAAATTATAAAACTAGGGATTTACAGTTGTTCTTTCCATTGCATATCCAGAATCAATGCACAGGAACACAAAATGTTGGTAAAGTATGTTAAAGGCTATCAAAATAGCTAGCAAAAAGACCTAGCCAATATTAAGTGCTCAATAAATGTTAGTTTCTGGGGTTCTTTTTAAATTGTTTGCTTCTTTGTTTTGTTTTTGTCAACGATCTGTAAATTTGTGAATAGTCTTGCACAATTTACCACAGATATAATCCTCCCTATTTATACATATCATCACCTTCTTGCCATTATGCACAGATTAAGTTACTCTCTTCAACAAGCTCCTCATGGCATTTTTTACCTCTGTGTTTCTCATGGTGTAAATTACAGGATTTAACATGGGAGTGAGGATTGCAAAGAATACAGTCACAACTTGTCCACAGAGTGGGTGACCACAGGACGCATGTAGGTGAATATGCAAGGCACAAAAAAGAGTACAACGACAGTAAAGTGGGAACCACAGGTGGAGAGGGCTTTGCGCCGTCCTTCAGAGCTATGGAATTTCAGGGAGCTCAGGATAACTATGTAGGAGATGAGGAGCATGGAAAAGATGAGCAAGCACATGACTCCACTGTTGGCTGCCACCATTATCCCAAGTCTGTAGGTGTCTCTGCAGGCAAGTTTCAACAATGGGAAGAGGTCACACATAAAGTGGTCAATGACATTGGGACCACAGAAGGGCAAGTTAGTCATGAAAAGAATCTGCACAGTGGCATGCAGGATGCCTCCAATCCAGGCTATCACCACCAGAAGGTGGCAGATCCCTTGTCGCATAATGGTTGTGTAGTGCAGGGGCTTGCAGATGGCCACATAGCGGTCATAGGCCATGACAATAAGGAGGATGATCTCTGAGCCTCCCAGCAAGTGCTCCACAAAGAGCTGAGTCAGGCAGCCAGCCAAGGAAATAGTTGTCCTCTGGTAGAGCAGGTCGGTGATCATTTTGGGGGTGGTGACAGAGGTGTAGGAGGCATCTATAAAGGATAAGTAAGTGAGAAAGAAGTACATGGGTGATGAAAGTGTGGGGCTGGAGGAGATGGTGATGACAATGAACAGGTTGGCGAGCACAGTAAATAGGAAAATAAATAAGAATACAATAAAGAGTATTTTCTGCAAGTGTGGATTCTGTGTGAGCCCCAAGAGAGTGAATTCAGTCACATTGTTGGGAGGCTTGAGGTCATCCATTCAGAGAGTAATACTTTCCAGGGGTCTGAATTACCTACAAGAGATAAAGAAAGATTATCTATTAATCATTAAAGGATTACAGTCTGAATTTCACAGTATAGAGATAGGGTAGTTAACTGTGGAGCATGTCTTTGGCTTCCCTCACCCCACTAATTATTTAAATTATTCATTTTCACTTCCTCCATAATGCTTTCAGTCTCTTCAGATCCCTAGTCTTATCACCTGCAAAACATCTATAAGGCAACAGTTCCCGTGTAGTTTGCTGAGAACATACTTGACTACACACATGAGATCTGGATTCTTCCTCTTGTTCCAACTCCATGTGACTTTGCTAAGTTGTTCCAGTGTCCCATGCTTCTGAGCCATCCTCTACATCTGTGAGTTTACAAACTGTAGCTGTGAGATTGATTTTGTAAGCTATAAAGTGCTGCACACAGGTAAGGATTGTTCTCTCTTCCCGTAAATTTACATTTGAACCCACAGCTCTAAGTGGGAGAAAGATGTGGTCAAGAAATATCCATCGTAAGTAGGCAGATTAGGGAAACGTAAGTTGTCAGAGACACACTCTCCCTAGCACCCACCATAACAAATATGCTATTCATGTTACTTTCCTCACTGCACCTACGCGGTGGTTGACAAAGTATCTTCAGTGTCTGGCAACCACCAGGCAATGAATACATGCTTGGTGAATTCCCCTACACCTTCCCTTCCTACATCTCCATGCGTAAGGATGCATGTGTTTCTCCAGCCCATAAACCTAGGAATTTAAGTACTCTTATCCTTCCACTCTGTTCATTCATGCTGTCTACCTCAAGAGAACATAAACTTTTGAAAGGAAGATGCATTCCAGTTTAATAGTTTCTATCATATAATATAGGGTGAGGATGGAAGTATCAATTGCCTGCAGGAAACACTATGTACTAGGTAATTTGACTTTCAAGATAATTACGATGTTCTTTTCTTTTCTTTTTTTTTTGACAGTCTCGCTCTGTTGCCCAGGCTGGAGTGCAGTGGTACAATCTCGGCTCACTGCAACTTTCGCCTCCCCAGTTCAAGCAATTCTCCTGCCTCAGACTCCCGAGTATCTGGGATTACAGGTGCACACCACAACTCCCAGCTAATTTTTTGTATTTTTAGTAGAGACGGGGTTTCATCATCTTGTCAAGACTGGTCTTAAACTCCCGACCTCAGGTGATCCACTCGCCTTGGCCTCCCAAAGTGTTGGGATTATAGGTGTGAGCCACCGTGCCCGGTCATGTTCTTTAATTACTATTTTTTATTCCTCAAAATTATGTTCCACATACAATTTAACACAGTTCCAACTCAGTAAATTTAAAACTTCAATAGACTGGTATGTATATATAAAGAAACTCTTGGAGAAGTTTTTCAGTCCATAATCTGTCAAAGCTAAAGAACCCGTTATTTTCAAAGTTATAAAATAGAAACTCAATGTAGAGAACAGAAATAGACTGCTAGATAAGATAAAGTACTATACAGATATATACACACACATACACAAACACAGACATATAAAATCTACTAGTTACTATAAGTAAGTATCTATGACTTACATATTCACTCATTCAGCAAATACTTATTGGACACTCTACATATTCTTGTACTTTTGCCGGTATAAAATCATAAATATGTTCCTGACAGAGCCCTTTTGTCAGCTCTCCCTTAACAGTTTATTACCACATAACAACAATTCACCTACTCACAAGATGAATAATCCCTTCTACTACTTTATTTCTGCTGTTTACATTCTCATGCCTTTTCCTCCCACTCTTCCCTAATATCCATCGTACATCACTCTTGGTTTGAGAAAACTGCATCATTAATACAATAGGAAAAATTATCCCAGTTTGGAGACATGCACTTCCCAAAAATATGAAAACAAGGCTGAGCATGGTGGCTCACGCCTGTAATTCCAACACTTTGAGAGGCTGAGGTGGGTGGCTTACGAGGTCAGGAGTTCAAGACCAGCCTGGCCAACATGGTGAAACCCCGTGTCTACCAAAAATACAAAAATTAGCTGGGATAGTGGCGGATGCCTGTAATCCCAGCTCCTTGGGAGACTGAGGCAGGAGAATCGCTTGAACCTGGGAGGCAGAGGTTGCAGTGAGTCGAGATCGCTCCATTGCACTCTAGCCTGGGCAAGAGTGTGAGACTCCATCTCAAAAAAAAAAAAGAAAAGAAAAGAAAAAAGAAAACATAAATATAACAAAATGTATTCTGTGAACTATATTTTTCTTTTGAAAAAATAAGTGGATAAAGGGGTTTATTTTTTAATTGTTCAGGACAAAACTCATGTACATATGTGAAAGCAAAGTGCAGCCGCTTCATCTTTTTCTCTTATTCTGAGGTTGACTCCCAAGGAGATCTGAAAGAGTATGGTGTGTGTAAAGTAAGAGAAGACATAATAAACCTGATCTAAAAATAAATATGAATAAATTAAAGTCACCTTGTCTTTTTCCTTGGACTTCACCATATTTTTTCTAAGAATAAATCCTGAAACAAAATATTTTAAAAAGAGAAAAATCATTCAGTACTAATATGTTCAACAAAATTATTAAAAGCTGCAAAAAAATTAGGAACTCAATGGAATGTCTCCCATTAGAGAAGTGGATGAGTAAGATATAGTGAGCCTCTCAGAATAATGTGTAGTTTTTAACAATGTTCTTAAAATTTGTGTAATATCAAATGAAAATTTTTACGTTGTAACATTAAGTGGGGAAAATGTGGACACAAATTTGAATACATAATATGATTCTAATTAATTTAAACATATATCAATAGAAAAAAAAAGACCTTAAAATATTTTTACTTCTAAAGTGGTGGGATTACAGTTGATTCTATCTTTCTTGATACTTTACATGCAGAAGAAGAGACTTAAACCTTAAATTGATGGGGAAGAAGGGTGATTTTTAAGGTCCATTTAATCCTGAGATTCTATATTTATACTATTTCTTAAAAAACAAATCTCACCTATTAACTTGTCTGGCATAGCTCCATGGCCAGAGCCCCAGGCAGCTGTTAGGTCATCAAGAAGTGAAGTTGTAAGATAAAAAATGCCAACTAGCTCAGCTCCAGTAGGTCTTTGTGGATTTATAAATGGCATCTTTGGATAGTACCTTCCTCTTGAGTCTCAGAAGTGCTACCACACATCCTCTTTGCAGGCAAATTCCGCAAAGTTTCTTAGCTGTGGTTAATTAGACCTCACGGGTGTTTCACTATTATTAGCAGACCTTGCCTACAGCCTAATTAGTTCATATTGCTTAACAGAACATGAGAGGAGAATGTTTGCAGCATTAATCTTTAATTGTAACTCCTTGCTTAGGTCTGCATGAATATTAATCACATTGTGTCAAAAAAAAAACAAAAGTTGACCACTTATAAGTTTGGACATTTGATAATGTATCAAATAAACTTAGTAGGGAGTCTGGATATTTAGTATTGTATAAATTAAACATTTGGATGGGTAACTGACTTAAATTTTTCATTACAATATTTCCTTATTAACCTATCTTTCATGGTTATCATAATTTTAATCTGTTTTCAGATGTAAATTAAGTGACAGTAATGACTGCTAATAGCGGCACTTCACATCAGTCATAGCTGACAGTACTTCAAAGTACTTGTTTCTCATGCTAATTCTGGAATCAGATTAACACGACAATGATGAAAATAATTACATTCTTAAATTATATTCAGAGCAGTAAAATTCATTTATTTCAGTCATTTAAATGTAATCTAACAATATACCTATGGCATGGGAAAGATACGGGCATCAGTATTCCTTCTTTACAACTTGGAAAACTAAATCAAGGAATTAGAACCTCATCTGCCAAGGCAAAATTAGAAGCCAAGCCTCCTAAATTCTGGGCCAGGATCCTTATTCTTAAATTATTGTCTTACAACCAATGTGTCATGAAATTTTTATGTTGTTGCCAATTGTGAAGCATGTTAGAATTATCTACTAGTAGAAATATTTACCTAGTGTAGCGCCATGATAATAATATTCATGAGGGTAGGTGGCAAAGAAAGTTTGAATGAGGGTTTGAAACTATCTAAAGAACTATAATAAATATGGATTTTGCTAAGGTGTCATCTGTGAAAATGTCTTGAACTGTCTCAAGTCTGGAGTGAAAGCACACAGCCAGATCAGAGAATTTGCATGTACTTACAAGGTCATCATGCCCAACCTAATAAAATGTTAAACTCTTTTCATCATGGCCCATTAACTGGCCAGCCAGTCTCTAAATAGCTAAGAATAGTGATAGATAAGAGTTCTCTGGAATCCCTACACCTGTCTAGTCAAGCACCCAGGACCCCGGAGTAGCATGGAGTGAAGAAAGGACAGTCTACAGAGTTAGGTCCCAGTCAAAGAGTGTTGAACATAAAGGTAACTTTTCAAAAGAGGAGTTCCTGGAGCTATAAGAAAAAGTCTGTTTCCAGAATACAGGTGCAAAAAGTGAGCGGGAAAAAAACTGAAGAGACAGCAACACAGATTTTTCCAACTAAAACGGTAAGCCGAAATAAGCAAAAAAATTAAATATGGATCAGATCACAATTGGTAAGAAACCAGTTGAGTGTAAATTTAACATTTGACAGATCCAAGTCAGGAGCTAATTAAACAAAAAGAAGGTGTCTGACAGTGTTCTTATGGGCAGTTTAATGCACTTCAATAGACTCAAGAACATATTCTCAAAGTAACAAAGCACTCAAGAGCAGAGCTCATATTTTCTTAGTCCAATCTAAAGTCCCTTTTATCCCAGGAGGACATCTTGTAAGTTGCTTATTAAAAATTGAAAAGTTCGGAGTTGTATTCAGCGGCTGGCCTATAGACACATAATCACTCAAAACCCTTCCAGCTTTCCCTCTTCTAGTTGTAGAAGAAAATACAGCAATATTTGTGATACTAAATATCTTAGTATGGACATAATCACAGAACTTGTAAACACCTTCTAAAAGTTCTAAGTAAACTACTTGTAGAAATA